AGGGTCATTTTATCCTAACTTAGGCAAATCATCTTTGTCTCATTCTAATGTCATATTTGCTCCCCAGATGCATCAATAGTTTCCTTCATCACAGTTTATGCCTCCTTATATGCCTTAGCAATTCCCTCATTTTCAAACTATGCCTTAGGGGTCTGGTTTTGGTTTCACTGGCAGTGTATCATCTGATTTCAATACAAATGGTCCAAGGTCTTCAACTTACAAAAACTCATATGAAAGGTCTCAGAAATGTGGTTTTAAGAAGTTTTATAATAGGGGTAGGGGTTCCAATTCTAATCAAAGGCAAAGAGGATGGCAACCATGGTCTGGCAACACTGATACTCGTTTTACTATACAACCTAAATGTTAGATTTGCCAACGAAGGGGACACACTGCACTTAATTGTTTCTATAAACATCCAAATTCCACTCATAATCTTTCAGAATGCCAAATATGTGGTAAACGTGGACATATAGCACTTGAGTGTTACCATAAAGGTAATGTTGCCTATCAAGGTGCTCCTCTTCCAGCATCTTTTCAAGTGCAGCTAGACTTTGCATATCAACAACCTATTTCTCCATTATTCCAACCATCATCTTCACATCCCAGTACTTTTTAAGATGTTTTAGCTGCACAATATATCTCTCATTATCCAACCGGTGACACTTGGGGGTTATAGACAATGGATTCAAGTCATCACATGACCTTAGATGTGCAGAATCTCACTCAAGCATCTTCTTTCGAATGTTCAGATAAGATTAAAGTGGGCAATGGTAAGGTTTGCCCATTGAGCATATTGGTTCCACAACATTTATTACACATTCACCTTCTTTGAAAATGAACAAAGTTTTACATGTTCGTCAGATTACAGAAGACCTATTATCTATAAAACAGTTATGTAAGGACAATCGATGCTAGTTTATTTGTGACGATATCTGGTTTTTTGTGCAGGACAAACTAACAAAGACGATCATATATTAAGGAAAGAGTAGGGCTAATGAGTTGTTTCAGATTCCAGTATACAAGGGTATTTCTTCATCAGTGCAGCCTCATTTTTTCAGCACATCTTGGACAAGTGATCAAGTTAACTATTTGGCACCAGAGGTTGAGGCATCCTACCAATGCAGTTTTATCTTCTATGTTACACAAGTCTAATGTTTCTTCTGCAGTCGATGAGTCTTGCACAATGTGTTTTACTTGTATACATGGAAAAATGTTAAGGCTTTTTTTTTTCGAGAAAACTTGTGGAAGTTTGTTTCCTTTTGATAAGATACATTCGATATATGGTGTCATTCTTCAATTAGATCTATTGAAGGCTACAAGTATTATGTTACATTTGTAGTGATTGTACTAAGTTTGTAGAGATCTTTCCACTTTGCAATAAATCAGATGTGTTTCAAATCTTTATGAGATTTCATACTTTTGTTTCAATGCAATTTGGCATTAGTATGAAATGTTTTCAATTTGATGGTGGTGGTGATAAGCAATTTGAGAATTTCTTGGTTTCTAAAGGAATGGTGCATAAGATCTCTTGTCCACATATACCTCAACAAAACGGATTTGGTAAGAGAAGATATCGGCACATAGTAGAGACAACTATCACTTTGTTACACACTGCAGGATTATCTTAGTCTTTTTGGTTTCATGCATGTGCACATACAGTATTTCTTATTAATAGAATGTCTTCTCAATCTCTAGGAATGGATTTTCCATTTTTTAGTCTCTATCACAAACATCCAGATATTACTCATGTGAAGGTATTTGGATCATCTATTTTTCCCTACATTAGACCTTATAATCAGCATAAGCTTCAACATTTTTCTGGGTTATGATGTTGGTTATAAAGGGACAATATGTTATCACTTGCCATCAAATAAGCAATTTTTATGTAGGCATGTGATACATAATGAGGCAAGTTTTCCTACCAAGTTAACACATAGTACTTCCTCTGTCAAGACTAATTCCAAGTATGATTCTACTCTGAGATCACCAATTGTTGTCACTTTACCAGTACCTCTTTCCAACATTGGTTTTAGTATTTCAGTATCTTCCACAGTTAATTCTCAACATGAGTTATATTTCTCCAGTTCACATCGTTATCAGATAATGTTCACAGTTCAACTTCAACACCAGAATCTACAACTTCTTCATCAAATACTCATTTTAGCTCTATCTCTCAAGATCACTCAAGTTTGTTAACTGTCCATAATCCTACACAAATTCAGGCATGTCTTCTTTGTCTTCCTAATTCTACTATTCAAGGGCTACAAACTAGTGCTATTACCAGACATGATTATTCTGCATACATTGCCTTTTTACCTCAATTACAATCTCTTCAACTTGATGAACATGATTATGATGTTTATGGTTATATTTATGTTGTTGATATAACTGATGGGGCTAAACCTAAAAGTTTTTTAAAAGCTTCATCTATTTCTCATTGGTAGAAAGCTATGCAAAAGGAGTATGATGCCTTACAAACTCAGGGTACTTGGGTTTTGGTTCCTCTTCCCACATATCGGTCTATTGTTGGTTGTAAAAGGGTTTACAAAGTTAAAAAGAACCCTAATGGTAGCATTGCTAGGTATAAGGCTCGTTTAGTCGCTCAAGGGTTTACTCAAGAACATGGGATTGATTACTCTAAAACTTTTAGTCTAGTTGTACGGCATTCCACAGTAAGGCTTATACTTGCTCTAACTACTAATTGTTATTGGAAATTAAGGAAATTGGACATAAAAAAAATGCTTTCCTTCATGGGATTTGCATGAAGGGGTTTATATGCATCAACCTCAGGGCTTTGTTGATTCTACCAATCCTTCTTATGTTTGTAGACTTGTTAAATCCTTATATAGGCGGAAGCAAGCACCAAAGGCATGGCATTAATTCTAAGTTCACTGAAGTACTTCCATTATTAGGATTTGTTGCCTCACAATCTGATATTAGTTTATTTGTGAAACAACATAAAGGTGTTGTGGTTATTATGCTCTTGTATGTTGATGACATTATTCTCACAGGATCCAGTGATTCTCTTATTCAAGAAGTTATCAATGGACTTGCATAATTTTTTGATCTTAAGGATATGGGTTCTCTCACTTATTTCCTTGGATTACAAGTTCAGTATAAGCCTAATAAGGATTTGTTTGTTAATCAAACAAAATATGCCAATGAGCTTCTAGTTAAAGCCGGTATGGAACATTGTAAGCCCTCACCAACTCCAACCAAGCCACACATTTAATTGCTTGTTGAGGAAGGCACACCTATTTCAAATCCAACTTTATATCGTAGTCTTGTTGGAGCTCTTGAATACCTGACATTCACTCGCTCTGATATAGCTCATTCTGTAAGTGTTGTTTGTCAATATATGCAGCATCCAACTGAAGCTCATTTCTTTTTGGTTAAACGGATATTACGATGTCTTCAGGGTACTTTGAATTGTGGTTTAACTTACAAGTCTTCACCAGAAACAACTATTACAACTTATTCTGATTCTGATTGGGTTACTGATATATTAATACTCGAAGATCTATGACATGATATGTAGTTTTCTTTGGTTGTAATCTAGTCTCTTAATAGTCCAAGAAACAGTCTTCAGTGTCTCGTAGCTCCACTAAAGTAGAATACAAAGCCTTGGCTCATAATGCTGTAGATGTTTGTTGGCTCAGGTCCCTGCTTAAAGATCTTCATGTATTCCTACCCTTTCCTCCAGTGCTTCACTATGACAACTTATCCACCATTACTCTTAGTTACAATCTTGTGTTCCACTCACATATCAAGCATCTTGACACACACTTTTATTTTGTCCGGAAAATGTGCAAAAGGGTGATTTCTTGGTTCAACATATCTCTACAAAGGAGCAGGTTGTAAATATCTTGACAAAAAAAGTCTTCATGGTCCTTCCTTTGTTCATCATTGTTACAATCTTAACCTTGGAACCCCGAGTTAAGATTAAGAGGGGGGTAATAACAGTATTACTGTAATGACAAATGTAAAGATCTTAGATTGCGAAGTGTCAATAGATTAGAAGGTGTAAGGTAGCTTAGTTGTTAAGCAAGGTAATTACCAAATATGTATAAGAAAAGATATAACAAACAACCCGGATTTATGAGCTCTCTTCTCTCTTTCTCTCTCTCTCTCTCTCTCTCTCTCTCTCTCTCTCTCTCTCTCTCTCTCTCTCTCTCTCTCTCTCTCTCTCTCTTCTTCATAGTTTCTTGCTTTTCATTTCTGTAAATTCAGAGGATTTGTTCATACTTTTATCATAATTCTTCTTCTTCTTTTTTTTGACAAACGATAGCGTTAGTAGGTTAAATTTATGGTCGTTAGGGGGAGGGACATCGGTGAAGATTGAACCCGCGTCAAGGTGCATAGGCATTATTGCTTTCCACCACTGCAATACAGTCCCATCTCTAAACATTAGAATTCACCAAGTAGACATCTCTTTGCTTTGATGATCGACCAAAATTGCAATGCTTATCGTACGTTTAACAAAATTTTCAATTATAACTCTAACCGCAAAAGGGTAAATTTCCCAATGGCTCCTGAAAATTTTCAGTTTGTGCAATTACCCCTTGAACCAAATGTTTCTACAATCTACCTCCTGAAGTGCAACTACAATCTACCTCCTGAAATGAAGAGAATGGCATTGAAAAAAGGGTACGTGTTCTTGTGAAGTGCCATTTTTTGACAAAAGGTGAATGGAAGTGGACATAGGTATCAAACTATAACACACTTCGAAGTTTGTTTGGCTTTTTGTAAATTTGTTTTTAGTAATTAGGTGGTAATTGCACAAGATTGAAAAACTTAAGGTGTCATTTGAGCAAATTTCTCGTTGAGAAACCCCTAAAACTAAGCTGCTCTCCAAAGAATCACCTTAAGAGTAAATCGTCAATAAGACTACCTGACTAGGATAACTCTCATACGAAGTAAGACTATGCAGAGTTCGATATGACCAAATATAAGTGTCTCATGCTTTTATGAGACATGCCCTAAAGATGGCATGATTTGGAAACCCTACCCAAATTTCTCCTTCCAATTCATTAAAAAAAAAGGAAAAAATGATACGAATGGATAATGATCTTTAAGGCATGAAAGGCTTTGCATATTCGTTCATCCTTCAACCACATTATCATGCAAATTCTCATTATAGTCTATTGGCCTGCAATGAGCAAATCTATAACCTAGATATATGCTTGCCATAGTACTTGCATTATTCTTGTAATTTGATTGAGATGAAAAGGTTAACTCTTGCATTATTCTTGTTGTTGGGAAACTTCACTCCAGTTTTGAATGGCCTGCAACATCGCTTCTTTCACTACCTCAACATCTTTCTGTTCAGCACTTTGATTATCCTACAACATCAAATTCAAGAGAATAAATCACCAAAGATGTTCAAATTATATATGCGCTCGAGAGCAACAGAAAATCATATGCTTCAAAGAGAGAATTTTTTGAACGTATTCAAGGAGGTCAAGGAGGAGAATTTTTCCATCATTTGCTCGAATATGTACGAGCCTTAATCATATGATGCATCAGAATATGAATGCGAAAAAAACGAGAGATGTTTATCACTTTTTATCGTTCTTACATTGATTGTTCCAACAGCTTCTAGAAGAAAATTGTTGGAACAAGAAACCCTAGCTTGATGCACATCAAGGCCTAGCTCTTCAAAAGCTTCCAATACGAAAACAAGTAACCCGCTGCAGCTTTTTTCACTGAACATCTTAATCAGAAAGCCTTCCTCACGAGCTTCGACTTTCAGTTGCTGAAACGTATTAAAAATCGAATGAAAGAAAGAAATTAAACCCCAATTAGTTAATTATTAAATACAGACCAATGAAATCCCTACGTAATAAATTAAATAAGGATTCTACCACAGAAAAGGGGTTATGGGAAGTTGAGGTTTGCGCTGAAGCAATCGTCTGTAGATTCATTTCCTCCACTTTGCGCTTTAAGTTTTGTATATATTTTGATGCATCGAATACAATTGCGGTTTTACTGTGCTGCACACGTACACACACAAACACATGGATAGTCATGAATCTTGGGTACTATATATATACATGGATAGTCATAAACCCTATACATTTCTCTGTGTGCGTGATGTGATTATTATTCTAAAGAGGACGGAACCGTAGAAATTTTCAAAGAACCTTTAGTTTGAAATCAGAGAAAAGACTCGGGATTCAAATTGGAAGAAGATCATTAAGATGATAATTCGATAAAGGGTATAACGTAAGTAGAGAAAATGAGTACATATGTGTGTGTGTGTGTGTGTGTGTGTGTGTAATTAATACCGCATGAGACTTAGAGATGGAACGAAGGGTTAGCAGTTTCTTGGATACTGGCGCTCTCTTCATCTGCACCTTGGAGACCATGGCCTCTCTAGATCTCTCTCTCTCTCTCTCTCTCTCTCTCTCTCTCTCTTGCTGATGAGTATCTGTACTTATAAAGTGAATTGTGGGGGTAAAAAGAGATCGAGAAGCAATCACTAATGATGCAACCTCACTTACTTTTTACTAAATATAATAAAATCTTCATAATATTTAATAGTATCACATAAAAGAAAGATAATTGCTCCAAAATTATAATAATCTTAGCAAATTGTTAATGACATTTGAAAAAAGTCATTATGCGCTTTTCCGGGGTGAAAAGATATATAAAGGAGTTCATAATGGTTGTTTCAAGTTTCTCATATGTAACATCTCACGTCGATCAACGGAGAGGATGTGATGTGTCTTATATGTACATGCCCACCTCTTATAGCACGATGCCTTTTGGGAACTCACTGGCTTCGGATTCCATCGGAACTCCGAAGTTAAGCAAATTCGGACGAGAGCATTCCCAGGATGGGTGACCCACTGGGAAGTTCTCGTGTGAGTTCCCAGAAATAAAACCGTGAGGGTGTGGCCGGGGCCCAAAGCGGACAATATCTTGCTACGACAGAGTCGAGACTGGGATGTGACATCAAAGACATGATTTGAAAAAACCTCACTTTTAGTTATTATCTTTAATTTGATTTCATATATTAACATATAGTTGATTATTCTAAGTCTAGAATCATCACTTGGAGATTATTCCACTTTCCAGTATGTGACATCAAAGACATGATTTGAAAAAACCTCACTTTACGTTATTATCTTTAATTTGATTTCATATATTAACATATAGTTGATCATTCTAAGTCTAGAATCATCACTTGGAGATTATTCCACCTTCCAGTATTGGATTACTTAATCGCTCAGATGACTTAAGCACATTTTGGACCACATAATTTGATACTTCAAACCTAAAATCGTAGCTCTACAAGACCATTCTATACCTTAAATAAAACCCTGCCAATTGGAAGACAATTTAATAGAAGTGAATTTTTCTCAACGCCTTTTGTATGTTACAAACCGAGTGTATTATTATTGTTTAAGTATTCATGTTATAAATGACACAAATACTATGGTTAAGTGATATTTTTCTTTACTTGTAAGTGAAAAACTTTAGATTCAACTCTTATAAATAGTTATTTGAATCAAACACTTAGGTTGGATAACATCTGACGGCATATCTAACCTAAATAATATATCTCATTTCGCCTAGGTTGTTATATAACATATACTAACTTATTTAGATAACATATGTTTCTCTCCTTTCCACATCAGGTAAACATGCATCATGAATATGGAAAACTTGAAATATGGTTGCATGGAATGAGAGGTAATAATTGGTTATAGAGGAGAAACATTGAGAATGAGAAAACCAGCTGATGGAGGGTGTGGGGACATTTTTGGAAATAGATTATGGAATTTATGAAGCAGACATTTTGCATGGGAGCAAACCTGTCTAGTAGTGACTCAATGAGCAGGCAAGGGTGGTGGAAGATAGATTTATAGGGCACATACGGTGACATCTTTTACTAATAAAATAAAAATATGTATAAATTTTTGTATGCATGTCTTTATTTTATTTATACGAAACGCTATGTAGGGGTGTACCAACGTCATATAACTTGTTATTGGGTGGTGGTAGGTGGGGTTAAAAGAAGAAGGAATCTACTCGTGATTGGGACACCATCGAAACTAGCATAGGAAGCGTCAAAGAGTGTTCAGATTTTGTGTTCAATGCTTCCAAACCTTCCTCACGGGAAGGAATTATACTCTCTCTCTCCACACAACGGCACAACCCCATTTGGCCTTCGTTTCTTTATTTGATTCCTTTTAAAAATTGCCATTTGATTGCAGTGCATGCCCATCGTACCACAAACAGCAAACACTTTTTCAAATGTGTCCTATTGGTTTAATTTTCTTCCACAACGTGAGAATGGAGAATCATACTCATGCTCTGCTCAAACCATAATTCACTTCAAGAAATAAACCTATATAATTCCAATGAAAAATTAAATATATACGGAAAATTTAAGTAATTTAACAATATTTTTATGTTGAGATCCAGATCCTTTTGGTGAGGATCTTGGGGATCCGTAAATCGTATTCGTTCATCGTAAATCGTGTTGTCAGTTTTTATCAGATACTATTTGTGTTTAATTTTAAATAAAAATATTTAAAATAATCTCTGACTGTACAATATACGATGAACGAACACGATTCACGGATCTTCAGAATTCTCACAAAGATAATCCGACGAGGATCCGGATTCTTTTTAGTATGATAAGGATTATCATTACTTTTCTATTTTTTATTATAGTTTAAGGTATTTTTGAAATTTTATGTAGTCTTTTTTTTATTGTTTCTCCTGTTTTTTTCGCTACGATTTTGATTTGTTTTCCGTAGAATTTTTTATAAAAATTCATATTTGTTATTAGGGGTTAAGATTGCTCTCCTGTTTATTGAAGATCCTTTTTATAATTACATCTCTTGTAAAGCTTTCTTTGGAGTGCCATGAAGTAAGATTTGGCAAGAGATGCATAGGATCTTTTCATGAAGTTGGGAGTATTATTTGGTTACTGTTACGTATTCTTGGTTTCTTGGTCTTCATCGTTACCCTACTGCGATGGAGTTCTTAAGCAATACTCAAGCATATGATGCATACAACACCCGCTCAAATGTTGTCATCAAATCTGATAGAATTACCAACTAGCTACTATCTTTGAAATATTGTAAATATACATGCAATATTTACTTAAACATGAACAAACTCTTTTATTCTTCCCGCTGGTGGGTCTGGTTAGACAGGGAATTTAGTGGGTAGCTCATGTGTTAGCTGGAGTACTACTTGCTCTGAAGGTTGTCTGCATTCACATTCATAATCAAGCAACATCTATACTCACATGAGTTCCCCAACTTAATCATTACAACCAAACATTATACCCCATATGCTTCCAAAAAAAAAAAAAAAAAAAACATATACCCCATCCACGGTTGCCCCTTCCTCTTGTCCTTTTGAATGCGTCCTTAATATGCTGCTTTAATTTCAGTGCTTGTCATCGTTCATATTTGTAAATAGGGTTTCTGTCAACCGTCAATCTATGTATATCAGTGCCCCAACTTAATCATTACAACCAAACATTATACCTAAGCTGTTATACTTATTTCATTCACGTACATTATACTTTACAGTTCGTTTTCATATCTTTTCTTTATTAATATGCTTCTGTCTTTTGTTCATGTGTCTCATGGTGGTGTTGGTGCAGTTTATCATGATCCAACCAATAGCTTCGTTGGTGATTTTGAGTGCAAATTTCCTATTGTAGCGGTCACTATTTGTTTCTTTTGCAATTCCTCTTCGGACTTGGCGCCGCTTGTATGCAAAGAGTGTTCCCTTATACTGGTTTTGTTGGCGATTTTGTGCGTAGAGTCTACCATGAGGTGGATTATGAAGCAAATTTCCAGTTGCCAGGATTGAAGTTATTTTGGCTTTGTTTTTTTGTTTTGAAGTCCTTTTTATTTGAAAATCCTCTTTGGATTCAATTCAGGTTTCTATTTGAAATTTTTAATTTTTTTAAAATGCTCATAAAACCGTTTTTTTTTATGTCAAACGATAGATTTGTTAGATTATGAAGCCGATGGAGTTCGTTTATCATTTTGTCTAAAAAAATATTGCTTGAATAACATGTAAGTTTCCATTAATTATTTAATACTGCACGTGTCTCCATTAATTTGTTTAGTAACATATACGAATATTCTTATACAGGGGCACGTAGTAATTTCCTTGTGCATTCCAAGCACCAAATATTTCACTCCCAGTCATTTTTCACATTATATCACATATATCAAGTTATCAACATCTTAAGATTCTATAACATCGACATTTATTTTAATACAATAGCTATAATGATGCTAATATTTTGTATCATGTGTATATATTTGCAAGTTTTCACTTAAGTATTCATAATATTTTTTATGATTATTAATAAAGAGCAAATTATAGTGTTCTGTTAAAAAAAATAAAGGGTATCCATGGTGGGAAATTCCACAATGCTTTTTTTTAAAAAAGGCACATTACCTTATATAAGGAGTAGAACTTGGGTATATAGAAGTATATGTCCATGCGAGTACAAAACTCATCGCATGATTACATGGATATACCAAGTGACATGGAAGAAGAACTTCTATGCCAAGTACTTCACAACGTTATGTGATGTCACATGCCAATAAACAGTATATTTATTTTATTCACATAACATTGTATTGACATACAACGGCACAATAATGGTATAACTATACCATATAAGTTATTTTCCTATATGAGGCCTTGCCGTTAACTCTAGTAGCTAGTGCAGTTGCATGCACTCCTAATGAGCTGTACGTGTCTCATATATGTAAATCATAAGACATAATAAGGCCACGTCAAATGGCTAATTAGGCTGCTCGCCTTTAGATATTTTGTTCTGGAATTTGATTAATTGTGTGAAGATAGTATTTATGTGTGTGTGTATATATATAAGTATATGTGTGTGTGTATATATATATGTATATTTGTGTGTGTGGAATTCCAGTTCCAGATATTCTATCTTCCTCGTGACATCTATATAATAGAGTTTATGATATTCCATTTGGACAAGGTGCTGTTCAGATATATAGGTACATTCTCAATTGTATTCTTTGTGAGTACTGTACATATAGTAGTACTATTTCCAAACACACTTGCAAAACAATTTAATCAATTATTGGATCCCTTTCTCTCCTTTACATACAAGACTTGCGAGTGATATTTTTGGCTAGATTTGGAATTTACAAGCATATATAGTTCTGTTCACGTTCGTCATATATATATATATATATAGAGAGAGAGAGAGAGAGAGAGAGAGAGAGAGAGAGAGAGAGAGAGAGAGAGAGAGAGAGAGAGAGAGAGAGAGAGAGAGAGAGAGGAAGTACATTCACATGCAAATTATATTATCAATGACAACAAACATAAAGTTGAAATGAACATGCCACATAGACAAATCTGTTAGTCACCCAAAGGATTAATCCTAGGCATAAGATAAACATCAAAGAG